CAACAGCTGGGCAGTCAACATTCATTATTGTGGTTGTCCAAGCAGATCCATGAACAGCAAGAAGTAAACCCCAAAGCTGGGGGTGACTCAATAACAACATCCCTGGTGAAGCAGTAATTTACCAAATATGCCTGCTCAAAATGTCAAAGCACATAGCTCAAGGGCTGCGGTCCTATGTACTAAACACACTGCTGCCTTCCTAAAACATGACCCACAAGCCACAGGATGCAATAGAAAAGTCTATCTTGAGCCTTGTCCATGAGAGGTTACCAAGGAAACTGGCAGCAAAATAGCTCCATATTTTACTATTTACAAATCACTCACACCTTGTTTTGTTGGATCTTTATAATTTCACTTGCAACATAGTCACAATATACTTGGCAGATAAACACAATGAAAGTATAACTCCCTATTTTATAAAGATAGAATCTGATGAAGAAATTATCAGTAAATATAAGCTTTCCTAAAGATGAATTTATTTAGTGCCCTAATGTTTCATATATATATGTATTTTTTAATGCATCTGAGAAGTAAATGAAACACTTAAAAATAATGGAACCAGCTGGACATGATGGCTACAGCATACCTATGATCCCAGCACTCAGGAATATCCTGACTTTGAGGCCAGCTGAGCTTCAGAGATTGACTGTATGTATGTTCTATGTGAATATGGAGCCAGAGGACAACTTATGATGTCATTCTTCAGTCATTGTCCACTATTTTGTTTTCTTTTTTCAAGACAGGGTCTTGGTCTCTGTCTCTCTGTGTCTCTCTGTGTGTCTCTCTCACCTGAAACTTACCAAGGAGGGTTGGATGACCTAGTAGGGAGCCTTCTAGGGGCTCCAAGGGACCACTGTCTCAACCTCCCCAGAATTGGGATGTCAGCATTTGGGACTCAAATTCATATCCTAAGTACTAAAATCTAAGCTATCTCCCTAGCCAAAAATCTTGTCTATAACTAGATAAAAACCTATTGAGAGTCACTTGATTACCAACCACATAAAAACAAAATGTGAAGTTTACATTTGTCATTCTTGGACAATTTACAGCAGTGTTTTCTATCATCTAAAAGGTATTTCCATGAGCCTCACTACGTTTTCTAATACTATGTGACAGCCTGACCTGAAGCTGAGAACACCAATTCCTTTGGGTTCATCAGCAAAGGTTTTCTAACAGAATCGTAATCAAGAGATACACAAGTATCTTATTACATGAGCAATTTACATATACTAAATTCAGACTATATAGCCACAGTACATTCATGTTTCAAAGTAACATAAGCATTCTGTTTAAAAATTTCTGCTGACTCCCTATTAAGTACAGGGCATGCTTGTGAGTATAATATATAAATGATTAAGAGAAAATGGTATCTGTCACCAAGTAACTAGCAGTATTTGAATATGATTATACTACAATTAAGTAACATACTTCCAAGAGAATTACACCAATCTTTTATTAACACACAGCAGGGGCATGGAACTTAGCCTGATAAATCTGGTTAGACTATTCTCTGACCTCAATCTCAAAAAGTTTAGGGAAGAATTAAACTGCTGGGCCTGTGTAGGAACTCCAAGTTCTTAAAAATGAGATTTGAAGCCGGGCGGTGGTGGTGCATGCCTTTAATCCCAGCACTTGAGAGACAGAGGCAGAGTTCAAGGCCAGTCTGGTCTACAATGTGAGTGCCAGGACAGCCAAGGTTACACAGGGAAACCCTGTCTCAAAAGACCAAAAAAAAAAAAGCACCTATGAAATAAATATCGATGCATAACTTTCTATGAAACACTAGCAAAGATTTTTTTCAAAAACTAAGTGTATGCCTTGAATTCTATTAAATGCTTTCAACTATTATCTCACTTAACCTCCTAGAAACCCTCTGAATTAAGAATAATTATCTTACAACTGATGGAAGAGGAAGGGTAGACTAGCCTGATTATATTACAGTTAAGCGGAAGGAAACACACTGGAACCCAACACAGAGCAAATCTTTAATGTGACCTCAAAGACTTCTAGCCTGCTGCCTATCCCATTGACGACTGTAGGGGGAGCCATTGAAAGCTTTTTAAAGTACAGCGATTGATTTACTACTGTTCAGAACCACAGCTCTGGCTATGTGGAAGCTAGAGAATCTAGAGGTATATCTAGAAGGGGAAAGAGGCCTGTGGTAAAACAGGTGAGAAGTGACGTCAGTGTGCATTGTGGCATTAAGGATGAAGACAGATTAAAAGGGTTATTTAGGAAACTATCAGTTCTTAGTAATTAGAAAGAAGTAAAGGCTCAGCCCTGGGGAGGCATAAGGGCAGGAGTATCTGAAGTGCCAGGCCAGCCTTTGGCTGGGCTACATGGTGCAACCTCCTTCAGTGGTTCAGAAGTAAAGGGTTAATGAGAGAGGAAGCCCAGATGACACCTGACTATCAACTGCCAATAGGAGCAATGGGTTTCAGCAATAGTTATCTACAGAATGTCTCAAGAGCAAAAAAAAAAAAAAAAAAACAAAGAAACAAACAAGGGGGGAACCTCCCCTAAAACCAAAAGTCTAAAATTACATCCTAGTGGTCAAAAAATATTCTTGAAAGCATATGACAAAAATATATAAGCCAGATATAAAAGTTTTCATTACTATTAACAGATCTGGCTAAGAGTTCAGGGAAAACATTCTTTAGTATCTTTTAAAAACTATTACTACATGCAGAAATCAATAAAGGCATCCCACAATTTTACAATGTGTCATTACACTTCAGTTTTATGATCTTCAATCTCTTACACAAGATTGTTTCGCTTGACCCTCTCCCTCTAAATTTATAGGGAAGATATATCTTTTATACAAACTGTAATACATGGTCGGGTTTTCTTTCCATTCCACTGTCACTCCTGTAACTTGCCAAGAACTTAGTTCATAACCTCCTACTTGACTTCCTATAAAATATGACCTACTTCACATCAGCTCATTTCAATAACAGTTCCTAGATCTTAAGCATACTGTTCGTCTAAAGGGACTCTGAAAACCCCAGGGTGCATCTCTGCAGATGTGGCAGTTACTCCATTCCCATTCTACAGAGTTAGGAAACTGGCAGAGGAAACAGAATAACTTGGAAATAATCACAAAGACAAATGCCAAAAATAACAACTTTTAGTCAATCCATGAGAAAATACTGCCCCTAGCTGAAATAACATGAATTTAGTATTAGGAGGAAATAAAATGCAAAATGCTTTCAAGCATGTCCTATTTCTAAAATTGAGTGAACCTCAGAATTAAAACCTGTAAGAACTTTAAGACAATCATTTTCTCCTAATGTCTTACTCATTCATGATACCAAAGATTATCTAATGAATTAAATCTGGCAATAGCAGTGTCCCCCTTGGTTTTTATCTTACCCATATAAGAAAGAGATAGCAGGAGAAATCAGTGAGTGTTATGGAAAAAAGTGACTTTAACGTAAGTTTAACTGTTTAAAATGAATGCCCTAGAAGTACTATGTAATAAAACAAATCTCATAGTGTACCTACAAACATTCAGAGATAATAAATTTAAAGCTAAAATGGCCAATACTCAGCTGGGCGTTGGTGGTGCACACCTTTAATCCCAGCACTCAGAAGGCAGAGGCAGGTGGATCTCTGTGAGTTCCAGACCAGCCTGGTCTACCCAGCGAGTTCCAGGACAGCCTCCAAAACAATACAGAGAAACCCCGTCTCAAAAAAAAAATTGTCAATACTTAGAAAGTTTTCCAGTCACATTCCATCCTGTACATTTCCAAATAGCTGTTGTCAGGCACCGTTTTTGCATGGAAATTCTTACATAATCACTCAGGGTAAAGTATGAAAGTCTGGCATGCTTGGAAGCAACACAACTCAACTGTAAAACTCACTTCATGACCATTCTTTTTGTTTGTTTGTTTGTTTTGTTTTTTGAGACAGGGTTTCTCTGTGTAGCTTTGGGGCCTGTCCTGGAACTTGGCTCTGTAGACAAGGCTGGCCTCGAACTCACAGAGATCTACCTGCCTCTGCCTCCCAAATGCCACCACTGCCCAGCTGTTAAATGCACAAATCAGAGCAAACTACATTCCATTATTACACAGCACTCACATTGTGCTTTCAGTCAGAACCAATGTGTGCCTGATTTTAACCTGGAGAGTTATACACTAAGTATGACAAATGCAAATTCTCTCACACACACAAACTTCATGTATCATTCATAAAAATACGACTTCCACTGGGAAAAAAAGCATCCTATCAATTCTAATCATCATGGTTTTAAAGTTTTCCAACGTGCCAACATTTCTCAGACTTCATCTTCTGTGTCCTCATCGACAGCCCTTTGTGTACAACTTTAAAGAGATGAAGCTGCATATGGCTCTATGGATAACATATCTTACAAATGTAGATTTCCAGAACAGTATATTCCAAATTAACAACCCTGACACATTAGCACAACAACTCAGGCCATTAGTACACAATAACCTACACCACACCCCCTAGCCATCACCCCAAGCTTTTAACATGACCATAACAATAAGAGCTGGAAACAACTTACTGCTCCTGTAACAGAAGGAAATTTCTTTAGGATAACCGAACTAAAAGCTATCATTGTCTTTTGATTGCCTGTAATTAATGTATTCCACGAAGATGCTAAAAGCAGCATTTATCAAACCAAACTGCCTCTGCTCTGTGGCACCTGATCCCAAACAGGAGTCGCCACACCTACAGAAGTAAAAATCACCAACTGCAAATTCAAAATCATAAATGGTAAACTCTAAAAAGCAAACTCTTTGTCCAATCCCCTTTATCAAAAACCATTTATCAAAAAGCGAGATTTCACTTCCTTGTAAAGCAGGAGTAAGAAAACAAACTGTAGATTTAGATTCTAGAAAAAAAATACAATTCTCCACCCCAATATTCATAAGTTTTCAACATCAAAATCCATTCACCTCTTACTCACACCAAATGAATATCCACTGTGAATATTTGAAACTATTTTCCAACACCAACAGGAAGGAAAAAAATACCTTTGCGTCTACAATATAACCTCCATCAATCCTCGGGTAACCCTGGTGCAACGCTACTGCGGATGCCCTTGGCCCGGGCCGTCGGAAGCCAATGATGGAGGGCAACAGCTATCAAGATCTTGCTCTTTTTCCAGCGCTACTGTTACCAAGCAAAACAATCACGGGCCCAGAAAGATGGCAAAGAAAACTGGAGTCGCTTTAATCCAGGAGAACAACTGGGGGAGTGGGGGGCAGCGGGGGTGGTGATAGTGTTGGTGTTGGGGTGATCCTGAGAGAAAGGGGTGCGAAGGAAATGAGGGGCGCGGAGGCGCAAACTTAAGTATCCCCCCCCAAGCATCTAACCAGACTCAAACAACAAAAGCAAACCATAGAGTCTGTGCACACTTAGAAAGAAGCACCAGATGGAGTCCCCCGGGCTGAGACAGTTCAACAGACACAGTGGGCAGTGGATAAATCAAGCAAGCAGTGACGCGAGAGGAAGGGGACGCTAGGCGATGGAGCCGCTAGATAGGGGAGACAAAGCCTCTGGGGGTGACTAAGGACCAAACAGAAAAAGGTGAGAGGGATACACAGGAGAAAGACAATGGGAGAAAGAGAAAGGCAGGGATCTGGTGCCTGGGCTGTGGCAGGTCACCCGGCTACGGAGGAGAGGCACACAACAAAGGGGCACGGGAGGAAGGACAGTGGCGAGGAGATGCAGACGGGATGCGGGGCGCGCAGCGGCTCCCACGGAGCGCCGAAGGCGGCGAAACAAAGGGCCGGGGACAGAGTCGCGGGGGGCAGCGCGCAGAGACAAAGCACCGGGGCTCCGGGGCAGCGGCGGAGCGGACGGGCGACGCGGGCCGCCGGGAACAAAGCTGCGCCGGGTCCCCGGCCGGGCCCGCCGAGGGGGCGCGCGGCGGGCACGGTGCCCACGGCCCCGCGCGCCGCCCGCACTCCGCCCGCCCGCAGCCGCCGGCCTCGTCACCGCCCGCCCTCACGCGCCGGAGCCCGCTCCACCGCGGCGCACGGCGAGACCCGCACCGCACCGCCCCGCGCCACCGCGTCGCCGCCCGCGCCCCCTCCCGAGCCTAGGCGCGCCGCGCGGCCCCGGCCCGCCGCCTGCCGCGGGCCGTCAGACGCCCGCAACTTTCCCGGTTCCCAGCACTCGCTGCCCCCTCAGACTTACCCTGTCACAACAGGCGCCATCTTCCACAAACTCTCGCCAAAACTCCAACCCTCGCGAGATTCCCCCCGCCGCCTTTCCCTGCTCCTCTCCCCCGCCCCTTCCCTCGGCCTCGCTGATCGCTGCCACCCGGCCCCCGCGCCGCCTTTCCCCGCTCCGCCGCCGCCGGGAGCCTGCCACCTCGCGCCGCCCGCGGACTAGGGGATCCTGTTCGCTGCCTTCCCTGGAAACCTACCCCGGCGATGGAGCATGCGCACGCCGCTCCTCCGCGGGCGAGCCCTCCGCGTAGTCCATGGGGAGCGCTCCGGTTATCCGGGTTTTGGGATGCGCCATCGGGGGACGTACGTGGAGACTGAGGAAAACCGGAGGGGATTACTACGGGGACGAGGACCGGAGGGGTCAGGAGGCGGGGCCCCAGGGCCGGGAGGAGGGGTCCTGGGAAAATGTGAGCGTTTCACAGGCCTAGAGCAGACGCCTCCTCAAGTGGGTGTTTTCCAAGTGGCTTCCCGCTCGCAGCGGGTTCCCAGCCCTTTTCATTCATTCAGACGTTCATTGGACACCTCCTTTATGCTAATCTTGGTATACCAGGTGCTGGGGCGACGGAGACCGGACCGAGATCCGGACCCCGCGCCCTGCCAGCGGCTGTCCTCGCTTACTACCCGCACACGTGGTGGGCCGGGCATGACTACGGCGTGGCCCGGCCCTTTCCAGAGCTCTGCAGAAGACGGGAAGCTTCGGGGACTCGGTTCTGTGGCCTCAGCGATAAGAGGTCAGCCCGAGGTCAGCCTCTGGCGGAGGCGCCCCCACATGTCCACCTCGCATCCACCCATCAGAGTCCCCACCGCGAGCCACACTTCCAGCCCAGGCGCTCGGGAGCGAGCTTCCCGCCGAGCTCAGACTGCCTAGGAACCCACGGCAGCTCGCGCGAGCTGCGGCGCGCAGGTGACTGCGGAGAAGCCTCGCCTCGGGTGGCCCGGCTCTGCCCGCCCGCCCGCTGCGCGCACCCCACAGCTCCCAGCCAGGTGCAGGCCGGAGCCCCGCCCCGCCCCTACCTGCGCTCCTCCCCGCTCCCCCTCCCGGCCCTTTCCTTTCCTAGAGATTCCCAGCTCCAGCGCTGCCTCCTGCAGGGAGCCACAAAACCCGGACAACTGGACTTCGCCGCCCGAAACCCGCTCGCGGGCGCCGCAGGATTGGCGCGGCGCGCGCGTGAGCCTCTGCGCATGTGCGCAATGCGGGCAGCCGAGTCTCACGCTACACCTCCTTCCGACCGCCTTCCACCGCCCGGCTCAGACACAACACGAGCCGTGGGAAATTTAGGAAACCTCGCGAGAACGTGCTCCCCACCGCCGCCGCCACCCTCGGGCGGCTGGGGGTGCGCCCTAAATCTCGCGGAGCCGGGCCCCGACAGGTGTCCGTCTCGTGCGTCCCAAGGCGCGCGTGCCCTGGCGTGGAAAGCAGGGGCGGGCGGGCCCGCAAGGCGGGGCGGTGGGCGCGTGGCGGGGAGGGACGGGCGGAGGCCGCCCTGGCACACTCACGCACGCGCCGGGGAGGTTTCCTGTCGCCCTCCCGAGCCTGGTACTTTCCTGAACTGTGCCAGACGTAGTGCCCCCCGCCTCTGGGAGCTGACAGACAGCCCCGTGTCGGCTTTGAGTCATGCATCTGAGTCACCTAGTCTGGCCTCCGCTTCACTTAGCTTTACAACTTTGCATTCCCTTAACTACTCCAGCGATGGGTGGATTTTCTTTATAATGTCTTCGCTGGCCTTGGAAGCTGGGCAAGGCTCCGAGAAAGCTGAGCTTGGCGATCTCTCATGTTTGCATTGTCTTAGAAGGTCACGATTTAAAAGTATCTTTCCCCAAGTCTGTTCCTAACCTTTAAATGAATCCCTACAAACCAGTTTCTGTCTTCCCTCTCCCCGGTGACTTAAAATGCCGGTCTTGTTTCCTTCCTCTTTCTGTGCGTTTGTAGTAAGTATCCCATTTTAGGTACTGTTTCATCAGATTCGTTAGCGGCTGCTGTTTTCCATGCACCCTTTCTTTTGGGACTTTTTATTTGCACAAGAGGTGTCAGAATATTCTTCAGTCAGCCACTTTTCAGACTGGCTCGGGCCTGTGGGATTAGTGTCTTACTGGCATCATACACACACAAATACAGATTTTAACTGCGTTTTGATGTTTAAAGGACATCGAGCTCCCTAATCCCTAATAGATAATGACTCCTGGTTCTGCTATGGACAGAAAATCATGCTTTTGCGTTTTGAAGGTTTGTAGGGGTGTGTGGTATGGGTTGCCTATTTTGGTTATTTACTTCATGTGAAAAAGAATATATGTCCCTGTTGCATTTTCTTGAAGAAAAAAATGTATAACCTTTTAATAGGCTATGTCTGAACAAGTGTCATCCAGACCAGAAGAGTGCTACAGAAGGAAAATGTTTTTAAACATTTCCTCAGAACTGTCATCCCAAGGATTTTCAGACATAGTGTAGTCTGTGACACTAATGTTGGACCTATGCCATCGGAGACCTTGGAAAACCCTGTTAGTCATAAATCTAATCTCAAGCCGTCAGTTCCACCTACAATGTTTTCCTTTCTCACTAAAGGCAAATCCTTCGATCTCACTTAACGAGGAGGACCTTGAAGTTACTCTTACCTTCTATTGCCCACCCAGAATTGAATCAGCAAGAAAAAAAATCATGCTAGTTATACCTATTATTCTATTTTCAAATATAAGGAAAGGAAGTTGATATTGCTCCAGCTTTGGAGGGTACAGGAGCATGATGCCAACTAGCATCTGCTTGGCTGTGGCGAGTCCCCCTTAGCGGATGATGTCACAGTAACAGAAGTATGTGCATGCAGAAGAGGGTACATGGGCTGGAAGACTGGAAACCCAGGACAACAGGAGCCAGTCTTGTCTCTAAAATCATTTTTTATGTGTGTGGGCGTGCACAGGCCATGTCAAACGTGTGGTAGTCAGAGGACAACTTGCTGAAGTCATTCTGTCCTGCTTGTGGGTTCCAGGGATCATTCTTTGTTTGCCAGACTTAATACCCTAATTACCTGCCACAGGGCCCAACTTCTTTTTTTTTTTTAAAGATTTATTTATTTATTATGTATACAGTGTTCTGCCTCCATGTATGTCTGCATGTCAGAATTGTGCACCAGATCTCATTACAGATGGTTGTGAGCCACCATGTGGTTGCTGGGAATTGAACTCAGGACCTCTGGAAGAGCAGCCAGTGCTCTTAACCTCTGAGCCATCTTTCCAGCCCCAGGGCCCAACTTCTTAAAAGTTCAACCATTTCTCAAGTTACTACTTTGAAGACCAAGACTACACATGAACTTGGAACACAGGTGAACTATGTTCAAACCACAGAATTGTACTTTCAAAATAAACCTAGATCCTAACCTTCTCTACCTCCTTAGCTACCAGCCTCATCTAATTCAGTGTTCCCACCAGGTTTTCAGGTGGTCTCCTAAGTGATCCTTCTTTCTTCCATGCTTGCTTCCCCCCTGTCTTCTCAGTGGACCGTTCCTCATCATCCTCCAAGACTCCAGTGGTTTTCCCATTTGACTATGAGAACTTAGCATTGGGCTCACTGTCAAATTCTTCTGACCTCTTTGATTTTAACCAGTCTTCTCTTCCTTTATGTGAAGCTGGTGCCCTCCTTGAAGCTCCCAGGCCACATTAAAGCGCTCTCCACTCCAATCCTGTGCCCTGGCTGTGACCTGCAATGCTCTCCCCTTACACACATAGGAAGGAAGACTCCTTTGAAGTCTTTAGGTAAATGCCATACCCTGGCACCTTTCACTAGAGTGACTCCCATGCCTCTTTCTTCTTACATCCTTTGTTTTTCTCAAGGCATCGCAAGCTGATGCACCATGGATGGCAGTGAGTTGTTTATGGTCTGACTCTCCTGACTATAATAACTGTTGGAAATAAGGAGTTTCATCTCTTTTACTCATTCTTCAAGCCTCAGTTCCTGGAACATTGCCTGACACTCAGTACTTGCAGGGGGGTGGAGGAGATATAGTGAGTCTCTCTTATAAGGACACAGTAGAGATAATTTTAAACAATGGAAAGAAGGTGAATTAAAACTGGAAGGGAAGAAAACCATTTTGAGTTAGACCAGTAAATGAAACTATACTTTTTTGGGGGAGAGAGATGGGGTTGGAGACAGGGTTTCTCTGTGGGTTTGGAGCCTGTCCTGGAACTAGCTCTTGTAGACCAGGCTGGTCTCGAACTCACATCTATCTAACTGCCTCTGCCTCCCAAGTGCTGGGATTAAAGGCATGTGCCACCACCGCCTGCCGAAACTATACTTTTAAGAGTTTTTCCTACTCTCTATGTTAGCCCCTCAAGAAAGGAAAATGTTTTTAATGAACAATAAAGAAATAGATATTTTCAGCCAGGCATTGGTGGTGCACACCTTTAATCCCAGCACTCAGGAGGCAGCCTGGTCTACAGAGCGAGTTCCAGGACAGCCTCCAAAACAATACAGAGAAACCCTGTCTCGAAAAAAAAGAAAGAAAGATAGGAAGAAAGAAAGAAAGAAATAGACTCTGGAAATTGGGCATATTTGTCACTTCGTGTTAATCATACAACTCTGCGTAGTTTATGCTACAAGTATACTAATCCATTTATTAAGCTACCTATATATTACAGCA